GAAGGAGAGGGAGGAAGGGAAGGAGGAGAGAAGGAAGAGAGGAAAAGAGTACTATATTTGGGGTGGCAATCCCTCCAATATGCTGTCCTTCTTCCAACCAGCAAGCCTGAGGCCAGACCTGGGCCACCCCACCCCATTCCCTGACCCTGAATGGCTACATATCCTTACCGTAATCATGGGCACAATGTAGCGCCAATTTTTGTTCAAGGCATCTAGCTGCTTCATCTCCTCTGGGCTAAAGCTGAAATCAAATACCTGGGAACAGGAAAGACAGCCTTGTGAGTGGTAGCTGGGGTCCCCCAATACTGTCTTCTTGGCCAGCCCAAATCAGGGGCAGAATGTATCTCAATAGACTAAAGAGGACAGAACCCATGACCAAGTACCTGAATGTTCTGAAGGATACGAGAAGGAGTGATACTTTTGGGGATGGTGATTACTTTCCTCTGAACCTGCCACCTAGGGTAGGGATCGAGCATAAGGAAAAAGAAGAAGAGTTAGTATTGAGGAACATTATCTTATCCTTCATGCAGCCTTCCCTAATTCCTTGACCACCTGAGCCCACTGGCATAGGAACATTGCCTCAGAGCCTCCCTCCAGATCACATGGCAAAATCCTCAGCCTCAAGCACTCAAATAATGAACTCACTCAATCCTTCCCTCCCAAATAGGCCTTCCTCATACCCTCCTAAGAGTTCCATTCCTAAGAATGCCGCATACCTCAGCAGGATCTGAGCTGGAGAGCGCCCATATTTTTCAGCCAGTGCCAGGACCACTGGTTCCTCAAGCAGGACAGGCTCATCAGGATGGCGCCAGGCACGATCAGAGGAACCCAAAGGGCTGTAGGCAGTCACCTCCAAGCCGCGTGCTTGGCAGTGGGCAATGAGCTCACTTTGAGCCAGGTATGGGTGGCATTCCACCTGAAACAAGTAACACTCCTTCACCATGGGATGACCACACCCAGCTTACCTGACCCCTTCCAGACACATGTCAGAACTAGCCCAACAGTGGGAACCTGCTGCCCACTGTTTTTCACTATTTTCCCTGGTGATCTCATTCTCTCCCAGGTTTTAAGCTCACCTTTATGCAGAACACTCCAACACTTCTGGTAACTTGCCAACTCCATTAGGAGTCTTACCACCTGTCCATTCATGTACCCCCTTCTACTCATAACCTCTGATCTGCTTGTAGTGCTCACCTGCAAGACAGCTGGGCGCACGGAGGCCACACTGAGAACATCATCAATCTGCCGACTGCTGAAGTTGGACAAGCCCAGTGCTCGTACCAGCCCCTTGGCCACAAGTGCCTCCAGAGCCTTCCAGGTCTCCTTATAGTGGATAGAGTCATATCTAATAGTTCCATCAGCATTCTTGGGGAAGGGATTGTCTCCCCGCCTGAGTGAGACAAAGCACCCGCAAGTGTGGGCACAAATGTCATACTACTGCCTGACCTGCCCATCCAACTATTCTATATACCATACTGTAAGA